GAAGAGGAACAAGGAGAGAGGAAAGAGATTGCAGGCATGAAAATCACTCACCTTTCGGCGAAATTCGCCATTTGAATCCAAAATAGGTCGTTTGTGTGATTCATGTAGATCTGCAATAAAAATATTTTTGGGGTATGGGGGGGTCTGGGACCCGGAGTAATCTGCGGCCGCGAGCTGTTATGTGCCATCATGACACGCATGGTGTTCTTTTTTTATATATTATAATGCAGCGCGAGCTGTGTGCTCGAGTCTTCCTGCCTGTCGGCTCTGCTGCTCCGCGATGATGGTCTAGCTTCAGCAGCCACATTACCTACGGGTGCGTTCGTTAATATTAACTGTGTGGTCCGGAGTCACTGGCACAGACTGGACCGCTGGTGAACAGCTGTTAGAACGGGCCGTTCAGGTGTTCAGAGCAGAGCTCCCTGTCGGAGCGCAGAGCGTGATGTGCACTGAAAAGTTTTTCTGTCGCAATATTATCGTTGAGCTAGCTAGCTAGCATACATTGTCACTATCTGCTAACGTTAGCTTTAGCCTTCGTTTTCTAATAGTTTTTTTTTCATAGGCTATAAACAGAGGTAGTATAAGTATAGATCTTGTACTTGAGTAAAAGTAGAAGCACTCAGATCTTGTACTTGAGTAAAAGTAGAAGCACTCAGATCTTGTACTAGAGTAAAAGTAGAAGTACTCAGATCTTGTACTTGATTAAAAGCAGAAATACTCAGATCTTGTAGCCTACTTGAGTAAAAGTAGAAGTACTCAGATCTTGTACTTGATTAAAAGCAGAAATACTCAGATCTTGTAGCCTACTTGAGTAAAAGTAGAAGTAGGCCTAATCAGATCTTGTACTTGAGTAAAAGTAGAAGTACTCAGATCTTGTACTTGATTAAAAGCAGAAATACTCAGATCTTGTACTTGAGTAAAAGTAGAAGTACTCAGGTCTTGTACTTGAGTAAAAGTAGAAGTACCAGAGAATAGGAATACTCTGTTAGTAAAAGTACTGCATTCAAAATGTTCCTCAAGTAAAAGTAGAAAAGTATTCTCATCAAAATATAGTGAAAGTAGCGACAGTAAAAGTAGTCACTGTGCAGATTGGTTGATTTCAGAATACTATATATGATATGTTTTATAATGATTGATCATGAAAGTGTTCTCAAAGCTGGTGAAGGTGCAGCTAGTTTGAATGACTTTGTATACTGCAGGGTAGCTTGTGGATTTACTCCAGGTGGAACTAAAGTCTGATTTAACACTTGATTAGATTTCACATCATTCATCCAGATCTATGAAGTAACTAAAGGGATTAAATACATGTAGTGGAGTCAAAGTACACCATTTACCTCTGAACTGTAGTGGAGAAGAAGAACAAAGTAGCAAAACATTGAAATACTTAAATAAAGTACAAGTATCTCAAAATTGTACCCAAGTAGGCTATAGTACTTGAGTTTATGAATTTAGTTACTTTACACCAGATGCCATAAAGATAGAAAGACTAAGCCTTGCACAGAGGCATGACAATAGATTTTCAAAATGCTCAACAGTGCTGCCAAAATTATAAACTGACTGCTACACAATTAAAATAAATGCTTTTATATATTTCTATTAGATGTGACTCTTTAGCGTTTCTGTTATAATTAACACTGCTGCTTTAGTTGTTTTGACTGCTAAAATCCTCTGTTATTCCTCATTTTAAAGCCGATATTCCGTGGGGTCGGGGGGCTCGGGTCCTTGTCACCTTTTCCATACCTGATGAGTTTGCATCCCTGATAATACTTAGTAAGGAGGCCATAATATTTTTGACTCATGGCTGAAGTTAAGTTTCTCCAGCTCTCCCCAGGTTGGCAAAAAAATGCATCAGATTGATGCTTTAAAATATGGAATATTCAACATTTTCTTCCGGGGGAGCATGCCCCCGGACCCCCCTAGAGGGATAATATCCTTCTCACCTTTTTCACCCCTGACCCGTTTTCATGCCTGAGATTGGGTAGACAGATGTTAAGTAAATAATAATAATAATTCCTTACATTTATTATAGCGCTTTATCAATGACTCAAAGCGCTTTACATATACACACATTACACATATATGATACATGCAATGAGATACTGTGGACAATACCCACAGGAGCAAGTTCAGGTGAAGTGTCTTGCCCAAGGACACACCGGCTTTACAGACGCAGCAGCGGCGGGTTTCACCCCTTGATCTGATGATCATTGCACAGCGCACTGCGCCACACCGTCCATCTTCACGCCTCGAGGTCATCGAGGCGCTTTTACAGGTACACATTAGTATTATACATGTACTGTGGACAATACCCACAGGAGCAAATCCGGGTGAAGTGTCTTGCCCAAGGACACAACGGCCTGACGCAGTGGTGGCAGGAGCGGGTTTCGAACTGGAGTTCCCCAGCACTCCCCCTTGATCTGATGATCGGATGCACAGACCACTGCGCCACCCGTCCCCCGAAACCCACCTTTGTCTGACTTAGCTCAGACAGAAATTGGCCAGTGGCACCCTTCTTCTTCCTAAAGAGGTCCATCAGGCTCGGAGAGAAACGGTCAAGTGCATCGAAGAAGTTGTCCTTGAGATTTTTCCCCACCACTCTGTTGAACTCGCAATAAACCTGAAACACAAAAGAGAACAAACCATGTAAAACTGTCAAATAAAATCATCCTTGGTGAAACAAATAAGTGCATTTTTTTTTATTTAGACAGCTTTTGCTTGCTTCACCATCTGATTTTTCAAGATGCCTCTGTGCACTTCTCACAGTAATATCTTAATAAAATCAGATATTTAAGTAGGTATGAGGATATAACTATATTTTATGAACATTACATTTAGAACACAAAAGGACAAACAAACCTGGGGAGGTTTCAGCCTGGAACCTCCACCCCGCTGCGGGACCCGTGGTGGGACCCCCGAGTCAGACGATGCGTCTTGGTCACGCTTCATATCGGCCCGGCCCGGGAAGAGACGCAGCACACCCTCCCGGCCATCAGAGTCGAACCCGCAGTTCGGAGGAACCGACCGCCAGGACACCGGCACTAGGCCGGTGGAGGCCCTCCGATGGTGGGTCGCGTTTGCCATTCGATCAGTGAGAAGAGAGGACACAAATGCAACAAGAATTATCAAAATCGGTTAATATATGGATGAGTGGTGGGGGTGGGGGGAACGGCTGGACACAGGCCGTGGGGGGACACCCGAGACCGGGCTATGTCCCCGTTAGAAGGAACCGGTTGAAATAGCCGAAAAATTAATAAAAACCGGGGGAAAGTGACAAAAAGTGTCCGAAAATAGGCACTCGTGAGGCGGGCAGAGTCCCCTGTTAACTCCCGTTACATTCCTCCATGGTTTGAGCGAAAAATGGCTAAGTCAACTATTACGAGAACCAGGATGGGGGGTTCAAAAGGCTTGCCGACCCAAAGTGCATGGTGAGCGGACTCATCACCTCCGTGAGAGTGGAGGTGTCCTGAGAGTGGAACCTGCAGGCAGACCCCTCTCAGGCTGACAGGCAGGTAGGCCATCCAGCTATTTTAGCCGGGCCGGCTAAAATGATTGGTCGTGCTTTTTACAGCGCTACGGCTTCCACAGATGAACATTTTGTATGTATTTATTGTCAAAGCATTTCATATTGCTATCGGGATGTTAAGAGCATTCCATGGAATATAACTAAGTGTTTCTGAAATAAATTACATACCCCACCTTTAAGGGACGTTAATCAACAACATCTGATAACGTAATGTGGTCGCTAATGTTAGCTAAATGGCGTCTCACCTGATGTAGTAGCACAAAGCAGCCGTCCAAGCGCCACCCTCCTCTCCCTATGATGGAAGCCTGAGACAGCCTGTGGCAGGGTTCGAGCGTCCGGCGTTAATGTGCGGTGGTGTCCGACTCACACGACTAAAAGAAAGGTGACAAAAACAGCAACTGGGTGAAAAAAAATCTACGTCTTTCAGTGAACACGAACAAGTGAAAAAAGTACAGCACTATCTGTTTAAAACTATCTGCACCTCGTAGCCTACTATCGCTCAGTAAAAGTTAACAAAAGCGAGGGAAACACACATTGCCTGACTGCAGTAGCGTAGAAGTGCTGCAGTTAAGTGAGGTAAATCAACTGAACACTTAATGCGGTCGCTATTAAGATCTAGATCCCTCCGCGGGCTCCATGATCACACTGCGGGGATCCCCCCCCACCCTAATGTCCACCTAGCAGCACATTATACCGCTTATTACACGGCTACATACTAAAAAAACAGACAAATTATTCATAATATCGATTTTAAAATGATTTAATTGACTTAAAAATGATCGTAATGCTTCCGCCAAAATAAAAAAGTCCGTTCCACGGCGCACCAACGAATGGAACTTTAATTCAGAAAATAAACGGCAGCATTATTCGAATTTACCTGTAACTGTCAAAGTCTGTTCACATTTTATTTTCCTCTAACAAGTACTGAAACAATGCGAGAGAAGCCCACACCGTGTTCCCGCCAGTTGATACTTCCTGTGGCTGTGTTACACCCAAAAGTACGAGAATTCAACCAAGCCCTGTTAGCTAAATCACTCACCAGATTCAGTAGATAAGGCAGCCGTGCAGCGTCCTTCCTTTGGAAGCGTAGACAGCGCGGTGAAAGGGTGCAAGTCCGTCGTTCAAAGTGGGGTTGCGTCCGACTGAGAAATTGCGAGCTGGAAATGTGGCTGCGGCACATTAAAAGATCCTTCTCTTTCCCATAATGCATTGCGAACATGACTAAAACTTAATAATGTGAAGTGACTTAACTTAAAATTATTGACACATTGCTTAACTAACACATGTAAGTATTATATGCTTACATTTGGTAGTCAGCAAGTAGAATAAGCTTACATTTGATAGTAATGCAATGAAACTTAAATAATGTCAGTAATTTGTAATTCATTATTTAATTAGATATGAATTCCGGGCTAACAGTGTACGTGCTGCAGTGGAAATGCGCTATAACTGATGAACTGTTTGTTTTTGTCTGCAGGCTGTGCAGGAGTCCGATTTGCCCACACAGATGTCAGGGTACCGGACTTCACTGACTATAGGCGTCCAGAGGTGCAGGACCCAGGCAAGTCCTCCCAGGAGAGCAGTGAGTCCAGGAGAACCTTCTCGTACCTTGTCACCGGCGCCTCAACCGTAGTGGGGGTCTACGCTGCCAAGACAGTGGTCAGTCAGTTTGTTTCTTCCATGAGCGCCTCTGCTGACGTCCTGGCCCTGTCCCAGATTGAAGTGAAGCTGAGCGACATCCCCGAGGGCAAGAACATGACCTTCAAGTGGAGAGGCAAGCCACTCTTCGTCCGTCACCGCACAGAAAAGGAGATCGCCGCCGAAGCCGAGGTGAACGTGGCAGAGCTGCGAGACCCTCAGCACGACAAGGACAGGGTACTCAACCCCAAATGGATCATCGTCCTCGGGGTGTGCACACATCTGGGCTGTGTGCCCATCGCCAACGCTGGCGACTACGGAGGTTACTACTGCCCGTGCCACGGCTCTCACTACGATGCCTCGGGTCGCATCAGGAAAGGCCCCGCCCCCCTGAACCTGGAGGTTCCATACTATGAGTTTGCAGACGACGACAATGTGATCGTTGGATAAATAACATTCCCCCTTAAATATGGTGTTACAGGTGAACACTGAGAAGATGCTGTGCTCGCCAGTGAATGTCATGAGGACATGAAATAAGAAACACCTGCCTATCTTAAGTTATAGTCCATCTAATTAGAAAAGAACAGATGTTGTGTTCAGGTCTGTTTAATAAAGATTTCTATTTTATTTGACACCTTGTGTTCAGTGTTTAACATTGTCTTTCTTGAAATGATAACCTTGCTTAAAATAGTCACAAGTTATATCTACTGATAGCCATCGCATACTAGCGCAGGAGTCTGGTGGTTCATGGTGTAGAGACAGGAACTGTTTAATTTAAAGTCCTGTTATGTAGAAATGATGTGTGAGTCAAGCTTGATATTGTAGGATTCTTAATTCTCCACACACATGCAGGTTTCGCTGCAAGGATAAATAATATCAACCAACTTGGGTTAAAATAAAGGGTACTTGTACTGTACAGAGTGATTCATTGTTGGTGCTCAATTATTGGTTCTTTTGTGGCAATGACATATATATGTATATATTCAATTGGGGGGGTATGGCTGCTTTGAGTGACAGGTGGGTGGTGTCTCAGGATGTTTTAAGACTGTCACTGACTATCATCAGCATATCCGCCTAAAGACACTGGGACAGGCCTAACTAACATCCAGAACATGGTTATATCCTATGTACATTTCTTATAAATTGAAAGTCCCAATTGTTTTTATACATAATTGCAAACACTACTTGAAGGCATTTGGTTTACTATCATTTCTAAAAAAGAAGGCAAAATGATGTCATCTTGAGTTATCCTCGCAAACACTCACAAGCATGTATGTGTATCAATCAATGTTTATCTATATAGCCCAATATCACACATTAGTCTCAGTGGACTTCACAGTTTGTACAGAATATCAGTATGACAATACGACACCCTCTGTCCTTAGACCCTCACATCGTACAAGGAAAAACTTCCAGAGAAAACCCACAGTTTAAAGGGAAACATGGGAGAAACCTCAGGGAGAGCAACAGAGGAGGCAGAGACGTGCACACATAGACTCTAGGTAGTGCTTGAGCACCTGCCCGTTTTGCCCTCTGACAGCAATGTGACCTTTTGAAAGTTCTTTTTTTACAGTTTTAAAAAAAAAAAATTACAGTGTACTGTATGTGGCTCATGGTAACATCGATCAATTCTGGATTAAAAGCTTCTAATATATACAACAATGCCCCAAATGCGCGTTGTAATTTTGTCAAACATCCCCACGCGTGCCCCGCGGCACTCCTGTACGTGCCCTGGCTGCAGCCCCTCCCTTCCCTGCTCTCAACGTGAACGCGCAGCGCACAGAGCTGACAGTCAGTCACTTAGTCAGACAGGCCACGGCGGGTGTGTGGTGCAGCAACACGATTAAAAGTGCCCTAGTGACGACCAAGTAAGTAACCACCAGGTAACAAATACAACGAGTGTATTGTTTAATCCCCTAAATCAGATGCCAAACTAAACTATACAGGGTTCGTACCGTACGGTCATTGAAAACCTGGAAAAGTCATGGAAATTCAAAATGCAAATTCCAGGCCCTGGAAAAGTTATGGAAAACAATATTTTTCCCAAAGTTTTGGAAAAGTCATGGAAATGTAACTAAAGTTGCGTCAAATATAATTTACATTTTATCTAATCGCCTAAATAATCTGCGGTCGCGAGCCATCATGACGCGCATGGTGTTATTTTTTAATATATGAAGCGCGAGCTGTGTGCTCGAGTCTTCTTGCCTGTCGGGCCGGCTGAACTCTGCTGCTCCGGGATGAGGGTCAGCTACATTATCTACAGTGCGTTCGTTAACTGTGCGGAGTCACTGTGGCACAGACTGCACCGCTGGTGAACAGCTGTTAGTAGAAGTACTCAAATCTTGTACTTGAGTAAAAGTAGAAGTACTCAGATCTTGTACTTTAGTAGAAGTACTCAGATATTGTACTTAATAAAAGTAGAAGTACTCAGATATTGTACTTGAGTAAAAGTAGAAGTACCAGAGTGTAGGAATACTCTGTTACAGTAAAATACCTGCATTCAAAATGTTCCTCAAGTGAAAGTAGAAAAGTAATATAAAAATACTAAGAGGCGTGAAAATACATTTTCAAAATGCTCAACAGTGCTGCCAAAATTATAAACTGACTGCTACACAATTAAAATAAATGCTTTTATATATTTCTATTAGATGTAACTCTTTGGCGTTTCTGTTATTATTACCTGCTGCTTTAGTTGTTCTGACTGCTAAAATCCTCTGTTATTCCTAATTTTAAAGCTGATATTCCGTGGGGTCGGGGGCTCGGATCCTTGTCACCTTTTTCATACCTGATGAGTTTGCATCCCTGACTACAGTTGCTTTAGCGTGTAGAAGCTAGTAAGCCTACTATTTGATTTGTTTTAGATAGGCATCTGCATCAGACAGCATATGGTTATTGAAATAAATATATATGCAATTACGACATACAAGATGTACCTTTAATAAATCTCACACTACTAAGGCAGCCGGCGGTTCCACCAGGGGCGTCAATCCCGGGGGGGGGTTTCATCCCCCCCTAGCTTCAGATTGGACCCCCCTAAGTCATTTAGAATAATAAAAATAAATGTTAAAATAATAAAAATGTTGATAATAAATCAGTAAAATCAGGCAAAAATAAGAATTAAATAACATAACCCTAACACCGAAATAAAGAAACCAAAAAGAAACGTAACAAAATCCGCCATTATCCGGCAAATTTTTGCGCACAATTTCGGAGCGCACAATTTCGGCGCGACCGCCACAACGACTCAGAAGGTGCCCCTTTTTTTTCTCTTGAGCACCTGCCCCTATAAATGTCTGTGCACGCCACTGAGAGGAGGGATCCCTCTCCCAGGACGGACAGACATGCAATAGATGCCGTGTGTAAATTGAAAAGATTTAAATTGAAAAAGTGCATTTTGTCATCCACTTTTTGGACCGCTTATTTTTCATTTTGGTGACGTGCTGACCTGAGGCAGCAGCGTTCACATTGGCCCCACATGCTGCCACTGTAAGGCCCGCTGACACCATACAATCTTATTAATTTGTCTCCACCTCCCCAACAAGAACATCTATATTACACGGTGTGAAATGTATTTTTCAGCAGTTTTTGTCGACGTCACTGATCGTTTTCATGCAGTAAGTCTAAATGAATACTAATGCGAGACGTTTCGCTGACTATTTATAGTACTAAAATACTTTTTGTGCGTAAGAACTTCCTGTGTGTCATCCTTACAAAAGATTTTAACGTGAATCCTACACAAAGTTTTATAAATGAGTACCCTGGTACCCCTCCATTTAGACCCAGCTGTTTGCTATCCTGGCTCCAAAATGGTGGACGTGCACCTGCACCGTGGCCATTTAATGAAATGCAACACTTTAGAAAGGTTTATTTGCAGGATTATTTCTGTTCTGAGTTTGTATCTTCATGGTTGATTGCACTTATTGTGAGTTGCTTTGGATAAAAGCGCCATGTAAAAGCAGCTGTACGGAAAACGAACATAAGGGGATTCCAGAGAGAGAAGTGTTTGACTTCCACTGCCGCATCATGTCAACATCTGTGTGTGTGCGTGAGCTGTACATGTTTGTAATGTGAAGCGCTCAGATTAGAAGCAGCTAATCGAAGGCGTCCCTTTCAGACGACAGCTGCAGTTCTGAGCCCGGGCCTCCCACAGCGCTGCACATTGAGATGAAAAGGAGAGCTCAGTTGGAGGAGCCTGCATGGCTTTGAGGTGGGAATAGATATTTCACAACAGCACAATGAAGCCTAGAAGTTTCTCTTCTCTCTGCCTTTCTCTGCAGTGGGACCCTTTTCATGCTCAACACAAGCAGCTGCTGATGTGTGAAGTAGTCCTCCTACTAATGCTGCCAGTCATGATCAGCACCATCCCCAGAGTGAAGCACACATGATGGAGGCACCGTGGCTCTGCAAACGCAATCATGTCCTTCATCATTTATATCTACAGGTTTACCTCTGCTGATTCACTGCACATGACACACACACACACACACACACACACACACACACACACACACACACACACACACACACACACACACACACACACACACACACACACAACAGAGGGTTCCCTTAGCAGGCTCTGAACACAGAGTGTTGGACTGTCACACAATAACACAACTGCTAGCAACTTCTTCACCTTCAGTTCACAGCTGCCCCCCAAAGTAAGTTATCTCCAACACAGGGTTGGGAGGGTTACTTTAAAAATGTAATCCATTATAATAACTAGTTACATGTCAAAATGTAATCAGAAACCTAATCTGAATATCACATGTAACCTGATTATTTTTTAACTTTTGGATTACCTCAATATCAAATCCAATGAAAATAAAAACAAGTAGAAAATAAATAAATAAAATGCTTTTACTTAAAGGTCACATGTAATGGCCATTTCTACTGATCATATTTCCATTGTTGAGGTATACTAGAATAGATTTAAATTGTGCAATTTTCCAAACTCACATTGGTTTCTCATACAGCATGTGTATTCACCAGGTATTCACTCTGTCCTAGGCTTGTTGGAGCTCCTGTCCCCCCCCCCCCCCCCCAGAAAGCACATGGCTACTTAGCATGCAAAATGACATCATTCTGCATGTTAAGTAGCCATGTGCTTTCGTGTTATGGCTGAATCTTTATTTATTGATTAGATCACGTTACTCTGATGATAGTGTTCAAGACAGCCTATATGTCTGAACTCGATCCTTAGAGTAATGTGTTACGGAGCCTTCTCTTCAATATTGTTTCCTCATAATGAGCATTTTGCGCTGCTCTTTTCCAATGTGGAAGCAGAATGTGTGAAAGCATACAGCACGATGCGGGGTTTGTCTCTAGACATCTTTAGACTGGAATAGCGGGGCCCAGTACGTGAACTCGCCTCGCAGGTGAACACGCCAGGATAGACGACATCAGACTCCAGAGAAAACTTGCTCGAGTTTGAGTCCGAGTCATCGTGGGGGGAACAATTCACGAATCCGAGTCCAAGTCATCGTATGCGAAAATTCCCAAGTCCAAGTCATCGTGTGCGAGAATTCACGAGTCCGAGTCCCGAAAATCGGCACTTGAGTCCGAGTGCAGAACTCGAGTCCAGTTCGGTCGGAGGGCAAAGGGGACTGCAGGAAACTCTCTTGAGGACTGACACATGAAAGGTTGGGTGCACCTTCAAGGCAAGAGGCAACTTCAGCCTAACCACACTAGGATTGATGACACGTTCAATTTCAGAAGGTCCAATGTACCTGGGAGGGAGTTTCCGAGACTCAGTTTGCCATCACTGTCTGACTCTGTTGCAGAGAAGCTGATTCATTGTTTTATTACCTCACGCCTGGACTATTGTAACGGTCTCCTGACCGGGGTTCCCAGCAAAACCCTGAACAGGCTCCAGAATTCAGCTGCCAGGGTTCTCAAACACACCAAGCCCTGGCAGCACATCA